CTCTGAAACAGGCTCCAGGCTCTGAGCTGGCAGTCAGCACAGAGCCCGACGCGGGGCTCGAACCCACAAACCGCGAGATCATGACCTAAGCGAAAGTCGGACGCTTAACCGACTAAGCCACCCAGGCGCCCCAATAAAAGCTTTTTCTTAAAGTGTACAAAATCTCTAAATGTACCAAGAGAATTAAAACATCTTTCCAGGGACATCCACTGTTGAAACTTTGAAGAATTCCTTTGCATTGATTTTTTTTTTTTTTTAATTTGAGAGCTTACAATATAAACCAGTTCTGTGATATTTTCCTGGCGAATACGTGGCAAATATATTCAAGTTCACTAACATTTGATCAAAAATCATGTTTTAATGGCTCCATAATATTTTGTCTCTTCAAAACCTCATTAATATTGTGCTCCTGTCCCTGGGTTTCACCACTGTAGTGTTTCCTGGTGGTTGTGTATTGAAAAGTCAGGGTGGCCACATCTCCTGAGATCAGTCCCCATGAGGTGACTTCAGTCAAATTCTGCACTGCTGTTTTGGGAATTCAATGATATATGCTTGTAAAGCATTTAGTCCAGATACCGTGAAAACCTTAATTCCTCTTTCATTCATTTCTTTCCAGAAACGATTCACATTCTCTGACTCTATATTCCCCTCAAGAGTCTTCTTACCGTTGTTTCTGTAGATGTGTTAGGGGACACCCAGCCCTCAGGGTCCTCCCCCTGCTGGGGACCCACCCCTGTCGCGAATCACGATGGACAGGAAGTGGGACACAAGATCCGGAGTTTGCCGCTGGGCAGGGCTGGCACTGCTGAGGGAGGAATTCGTTCTGTTTCCACAGCACCTCTGCACGTGATGGAACCGCCTGGTCCATGGAATAAGAAACAGAATGAATGTGCTGTCATCGTCTCAGGAAGCAGGAGTAAAGTGCAGACAGGCCAGTTACGTGGTCAGATATCCATGTGTATCAAAGGTACCAAACTTTTGCTAAGTGAAGGTTTTTTTCTCCTCATTGACAGTAGACTCTAAAGAGATAGGAGAGGAGCTGGATTTTTTTTTTTAAGAGAGAGAGAGAAACAGAGACAGCTCAAGTAGGACAGGGAGAAGGGGAGAGGGAGAGAGACAGAGACAGAGAGAATATTAAGCAGGCTCCAGGCCCAGCCTAGAACCCCATGCAGGACTCGATCTCACAACCATGAAATCATGAACTGAGCCCAAATCAAGAGTCTGACCCTCAACTGACTGAGCCACCCTGAGAGACAGCAGTTTTATAGTTTTACACATAACACTGTGTTTCGTGATTTTTGGGAAACTCAAAAGCATCTAGTTCCTAATCACAGAATTCTGTTCCCAGTATTTATTTTTTTTTGTTTTGTTGATGTATGAGGGACATTGCTTTTCCTTTCTTTACAGGTGTAGGGAGTGTTCATTGTCTTTCTTTTTACCAATCTGATTCTTTTTCTTTGTAGAACCATGGAAATCTAAGTCTTGGAGGTACATCCGCCATGTTGGAGGCACGTGAAGTGCTCAGGGGTCTGTTCCAATGGAGCAGTGTTAGTTTTGTCCCAGTTTCGATCCCGGGATGTGGAGTGAGGCGCTGCTTCTCTCTCTGAGACACACAATGTATACCTTGGTCTACCCTACACCCCAAATTGCTAGTGGTTTACTTTAGGGGTTAACGGTCACTAGATTGCTTAAGGATGGTGTCACACACTAATAAAAGACATAAAGTTATGTCTGACAGATCATTCAACCTGTGAAGAACTGTAATCACTATAAAAAAATCTAAAGTAATAATAACAGTAAATATTTATGTAAAATGTATGCTCCTTTCCTGTCTTCATTCTAAGTCATTTAGATAATAGAAATCTCTGTTGCTAGTATCAGAGATACACACTAATGGATTTTACTCTGACAGCTGAATTTAGTGGGAAACAGTGTCAAATGCTTTAATTTGGACCAACATTGCTGACATCAAGTGGGGATCACGGTGTGAGCAGAGCCTACAATGTCTCCCTGCAAAGTTCAGGAAATACCGCAGAGGGAGAGACTGAGGCCGGGCCCCGGCGGCACAGCCTCTGTGGTTGCCCACGTGGAGAAGGATGTGGGTGGACCCAGACCTGGACACGGTTCCTGTGCAGCTTCTCCTGGCGTCTCTGATGCTGTGGATCCAGTCCCAGCAGGCACAGTAGTACACGGCCTCGTCTGTTTCCTCTAAGAAATTTATTGTCAAGGTCGCAGTAGAAGTCTGAGCGTTTGTACTTGCCTCAAATTTCTTGCTGCCCGTTCCTGAAGGATTCAGAAGGCTTGTTGAGACGTATGTTAGGTGCTCTATCCTCTGATCAGGTTTCTGCCGGTACCAGTGTACGACTGTATTCACGGCCTCATTGGACATCTTGCATGATATGCGTGCACTCTTACCTCTTGCTCTGGAAATTGAGATTTCAGGTTGTTCCAACATCCGCTGCCCAAGGCCAACTGCAGGCAAAGAAGAGAAATTCCCATGAACAAATGGTGTGGAAAGAGGCAACAATCAAGAATGTGTCGTCTCTCCTGCAGGCTGAAGTGACTGGGGGACACTCACAGGCCCAGAGGGACGAGAGGATGACGGCCCCCAGCAGTGACATCGCGTGGGCCAGGCTGCCTCCCCAGTGACAGGTAACAAGTGAGGTCCCCGTGAGCAGGGCTGGGCAGGCCAGTGGCGGGAGGGCGGGGCTGGACCAGGTCCCTCAGAAGAAGTGGTGGCTTGGCGACTCCCCGGGGCTGCTTCATGGTCAGCCCCAGGTATGAGCAGTTCCGGGGCTCCCCGTGACCCCTGAGTGCAGGCAGACGGGGTGAGAGGGCTCCGCATCTGGAAAGGGATTCCTGGTACGAATGCGTCTGTCTGGGAGGGGCAGGCCGGTCCCCACACCCACCCAGCCATTCCCCCTGGGATCCCCTCCCCCAGAGACATTGCTCAGAACCCTGAGGCCCTGCCTGCTGCTCAGCCTCTACGTGTATCTGTCTCTGATTGGCTGTCGGCTCGGGGCTCAGATGGGAAACCTGACCTTTACTCTCCTGTAACACAGCACAGCAGAACAGCAGTCAGACACCGAGATATCTCATCTGCATGCGTGATATTCCACACGCACAGCCACCAGGGCATTGCTGTGTTTGTGAAGTATATTGAGATGCCACCAGGCAGATGAGGACTCAGAGAAATCGGATCACATTTCTGACCTGGGTGCCTCCAAGGAGGGACTAGGCAGCATTGCTGGGGACACGTGGGGCAGAGGAGTCTCTGGAACCAGCTTCTAATCGCTCCGGGCCTTGCTACTGTCTCATGGGCACGTGATGTCACGTGCAGGATCATTTTCAAAGCAATGTTGGGTTTCATATAAAAAGATAAGTTTTAAAATAAATGTACATCTAATGTCCATTGTGGACTTGCTTTTGTCAGGCATACTTCTGAAGGTTTTCTTGCATTGTTTTATGTCATCCTCTCTAGCAACCCACGAGGTGGCTCTTGTGATTAGTCTCCATGTCACAAATAACGACAATTAGGGACCTGTGGCAGATGGTCCTGAAAGGAAAATCTTCCAGATGTGTGTCCGCTGTGGTCCTTGGCCCATGGATTCTTTTTTTTGTTTTGTTTTAATGTTTAGTGATTTATTTTTGAGAGAGAGAAATAGAGAGAGAGACTGTGCAGGGTAAGAGCAGAGAGAAAGGGACAGAGAATTTCAAACAGCCTCCCCACTTTCAGCGCAGAGCCCAAACCGGGCTCAAATTCACGAACCATGAGCTCATGACCGGAGCCGAATCAAGGGTGGCCTGCTTAACCGATCGAGCCCCCAGGCACCCCAGCCATGGCTTCATGAGTGACACTCCTACTGTCCTGACCAGCCTCTGCTGGCTGTGGCCACAGGTCTGGGACAACACATACATGCCCACAAATGCCAGAGTGTATTCTTGTGAGGTTAACAAACACTCAGGGAATTCAGGGTGACCCTATGGTGCACTGAGACAGCACGGACTATGTATTTGGAAACATTTCTGTTCCTCTCGGAGCATCAATTCTTTCTTCCATGCAAGAGGCTCATTTGCAGGATTTTTGCGGTGATCGCATGAGCTCCTGGACACACACAGCATCTGGCTCATTCTCTGGCAGCCAGTGGAGCTAACGGACATGAATTCATGTTGTTCATTGCCACCCTGGCCTTTTCACACCCCTGACACTCCCTGGGGAATGAGACACTGCACCTGCTTCTCTCTGAGATAACCAGGTCATTTCAACATACCAAGTCTCCGTGTAGGAACCCAGGCCAATAGGAAGTTATGTGAAACCAGACACGTGGGGTACAGTTGGTAACATCTGTGGGGGTACTATCGTTAACCACCAGGCTCCTTTTTCTGTTTCCTCTGAGACTGAGGCATTGACCTGAACAAGGTCATAGGAAGTAGTGCAGGCTGGGGCTGAGGCCTCGTCAGGGCTGAAGTCAGGGCTTGGGGCTCAATTTCTTGGGAGGGATGTGGTCACAGTCATGATAAAGGGTTATATGTCATTATTAACTTGGGGTAATGGAAATGTAGGTTTATGGGGGCCTTTATATTAGGTCATCATGTCCCCTTCTTCTGCACATTTTATATCAAGGACCAAAGCAGAATATACAGAATTTTGTGTACTTCATGCTTGTAGTTCTTTGTCTGTAGTCGATCTTGAACAAGGGTTGTTTGATCCACAAAAGCTGGATTTGGTGTTGTCATTTTCTGTGTGTATGAAAAGTGAAATCTGGATGCCCTGTAGTGAAAATATAATTTCTATTATTGAAACAAATATTTTTAGTTGTTTCCGTTATATGTATTCACCTGCAAATATAAACAAAGGAATAGCATTTCAAGAAAAGCCAAGGTTATCAAGAAATAAAACAATAAAATTAAACATTTTTAAATATCACTCAACCAATCTGAGAAGTAGGGAAACAAATTCACTTTGGCAGAGGGAAGAGCAGATGAATATTGTAGCCATGGCAGCCTGTCTGCTCAGACTTCTGCCCACAAAGAAGGATGAGGAGAAGCCAAGGACGCCGGAACAGGAAGAAGAGAGGAAGCCTCCCAGAGTGTTAGCACAGGAAAGGGGTGCCTCAGGGCCCGATGCCAGACCATCCATTTCTGAGGTCACTCAAATTGGTCAGCAAGAATGGGAGCTTTATGCAAATGTACATGATACCAAAATAAGCAATCCATTTACGAAGGTGGAAGTTACCCCTAGGATGATTATTAGGAAGTTATGATTACATCAAGAGCACTTAGTTGATTTCAGTAGGATAGTTGACCTTAGTTCCCAAGTCTGTGATGACCTGAAATCATCTTTTGACTTTTTGGTGAGAGTCATCACTGGTCCCTCTGCCCATCTAACCCCCAGGACTCAGGTCAAACACTTCCATGGCCCTTTGTACAGAACTCGGCTCTATATCTCTGGTGGCCCCAGGGCCTGGGGAGTCCTTATTTTTGGTATAAAGGTGGGAGGGTTGTCTTCTCACCTCCTCATCAGAAGACAAGAGAGGTTGCTATGACACTCCTAACTGTACCCTTTAAAGAAAGGCTCTATAGAATCAATGTGCCCAAGGATTTAGTCTCCCCTTATAGGCTGGGTACGGTTCAGGTACCAAAGGTTGGAATTATCAATTCTGTCCACCTCCCTTCAGTCTTTGGGAAAGATTACTAGGTCAAGATTTCTCAGCCTGAATATTACTATCATTTGGGGCTTAATATATGTTTTACATGGGGGTGCAATATCCCGTGCCCAATAGAATGTTTTTGCAGCATTCCTGGGGTCTATTCAAGAGATGCCTCTAGCATCCCCAATATATTTTGACAACCAGAAATGTCTTCAGATAGTACCACTATCCTCTGAAGGGGAGATTGCCCCCAGTTGAGATTCAAGGTCTAGGCCACTCTTGTAGCATACAGGCACACCTCCTTTCTATTGTCTTGAGTGTGGGCCTCAGCCAATCAAGACTGGGACAAAATGATATTCCCATTAAGCATCCAGCCCACCAAAGTTCCATTCACTCATGAACAACATCATTAATATACTTTCTTTGGGGATTTCACGCACTCATCTGGATGAGTGTAACAGGAAAGGATTTTATCACTTTGTTAGGATATAGGTCCTACCTTGCTTGATAGGCTGTTACCTGTTACTTTCATATATCCTATGCTAAATTTCACTTTTGCTATATCAGCCACAGATTTTAGTCATTGTTCAATTTCCCTACTACATCTAGCATGGTGCCTTCTCTTTAGTGAGAGCTCTTAAATATTCATTATCATATAATGACCATAGTATAGATCTTATTGGGACAAATGAAAGTTGCAAAATAAAAGTGTAAATCTTTACCTTAATATGGTATTTACAAGTTCCAAAATGCTTACATCCTTTGGTTCATTTTTTTCTAAATGATGATATTTTGAGGCAGAAAGCAATTCCTAGAGGGATGAGGATGTAATATAAGGCTTTTCAGGTAATACATGGTGGAGCTGAAAGTCACACTTATTTCTCTAACACCAAGTGCACACAGTGTACTGGACAAGAGTGCCCACAGACATTCTCCACTGCTGTTAAGTCCCATTCTGCATATTATCAGCATGATTTATGGGCTCTAACACTCAGTGTCCTCAACTATGTAAATGCAGTAAGAGTTCGGGGTCTGACATCTAACTTGCCCCTCACCCCCTGCTCGGCCCTCCCAGGAACCATAGAAGAAGTGAGCATATGTTGGCCATTTTAGCCAAGCCTGCTGATTTGTTTTCTAACATTTGAGCTCCAAGAGGCTCCTGGGAGGAACACTCATCATAGTGGACCTTTGTATGTGTCTATCCACACTCTCTTAATATTTTTCATTAAAAATGTTTTTATTTTTTTGTGAGAAAAGAAAGAGACAGAGCACAAGTGATGGGAGAAGCAGAGAGAGAGAGAGACACAGAATTCAAAGCAGGCTCCAGGCTCTGAGTTGTCAGTGCAGAGCCCAACAAGGGGCTCCAGCTCACAGACTACAAGATCACAAGCTGAGCCGAAGTTGGATGCTTAACTGACTGAGCCACCCAAGTGCCCCTAATTTTTTTAATTTAAATTTTAGTTAAGAAGCACCTTGGTAGCTCTGTCAGTTGTGCATCTGTCTCTTGACTTGGGCTCAGGTCATCATCCCAGAGTCCTGTGATTCAGCCCTACTTTGGGGTCTGCAAGGAGCTTGCTTGGAATTCTTTCTCTCTCTCCCTCGGCTCCTCCCTGGCTCTCTCTTTTTCTCTCTAAAATAAAAATGAAATAAAATATAACAAAATATAAATTTTAGTTAGTTAACATATAGCACAACATTGGTTTCAGGAGTAGAATTCAGTGATTTATCACTTACATACAGCACCCAGTGCTCATCATAACAAGAGCTCTCCTTAAAGCCTATCCCCTACCCGTCTCCCTCCATCAATGCTCAGTATGTTATCTATTGTTGAGTCTCTTGTGGCTTGTTTCCCTCTCCACTCTTCCCTCTAACCCATGTATTCATCTGTTTTTGTTTCTTGAACTCCACACATGAGCAAAATTATATTCATTGTCTTTCTCCAATTGGCTTATGTTGCTTAACATAATACATTCTAACTCTTATCCATGTTATTGCAAATAGCAAGATTTTATTCTTTGTGATGAATGAGTATATTCTACTTTATATATATATATCACGTCTTATTTATCCATTAATCAGTCAATGGATATTTGGGCTCTCTATAGTTTGGCTACTGTCGATAATGCTGTGATATATATTGGGGTGTACGTACCCCTTCAAATCAATATTTTTGTATTT